ATTTCTTTCTAGTTTGCTTTTCTCCATGGCTTTGTTTGTGATTGTTTTAGTTCGTCTTTTTAGCATGAGTAACTAAGTCCATAGCTAGGGATATAAGAATTATTGTTCATGAATTTATAGGATTTTGAAGTTTGAATCTATATTTGGTTTCCATTCGTTATTAGCTTTTATCCTACTACGCATAATTATAATTCTAATTAATTATATCGTCAGGCGACTGTACCTTAATTAGTTAATAGATCTATAGGATAAAATGAGACAAAAGATTAGGTGAACTAAACTAATCTTTCTCCTTTAATCGTTATTAAATTAACAAGTTCACACAGGTGTTTTATGCTTTCTTTAATTGATGTCTAGCATGGTCATTAGAGATATTAATTTAGAGAAAAGAATATTAGTATTGCATGATCATTGGGTATTAATAGTATTTGTATGAATGATTGGTGATCACAAGGAAATCAAAGTTAGAGTTAAATAGAAAATAACATAAATGATTGAATGAGAAAAATCAAATACCCTAAGTTCCTCTCCTATAAGTTCAACAAAGACGTATGTTGTGTTATTTACTTTTATTCATAATTAATTTTATAATTAAATTCTGATTCTTTCTTAATTTCACATCTTTTAGGCTCAAACAATTGAATTAAGAAATTTTTAGTAATTAAAAATCAATCTTTGTGAGATGATATCTCATAAATTTATTTTAGAACCCTTTATCACTTCTCGATGGGTACATTTGTCCTCCAAACAAACAGTTAGAACAACACAAGAACTCTCAAATCAAGTAAATTTTAATGTTGTAAACAAGTATTATGCTTAAAAGTGCTTCTAAAAAATTCAACAACAAAAAATAAAAAAAAAGAAAATAAAAAAAATAAAGAAAGAAGGAAAAGAGAAAATTTTACTTGTTATGTTGAAAATCTAAAATATCAACCTAGGCAAAAGTTAGAACAACTTAATGGGTTGAAAACTTGAAAGAATAACTTAAGAAAAAATTAAGGTTAAATACTTTTTTTAATAAATTGAAAATAAAAAAGGTGATTTTTATAAAAAGTTTGAATGATAAAAAGCTTGCAAGAGTGTGACCTAAAGGAAATAGTTATAAGATGGCAACATAAGATCATTAATATTTGAAACTAGGGCAATGTGACTTTGTAAAACACTAAAGTGGTGTAATTTTGTAATGTTGAAATCAAATTGAACAATTGGCGCATCCAAAATCTCAAACTTGAGCAATGTGTTGTAGTGAAATAGGACAATTTTGCAATGTTGACATCAAATTAAGCAATTGGCATGTCAAAGATCTTAAACTAGGGCAAGTTTATTTTCTTAGAAGCTTAAGTAATGAACAATTGATTTACCAACATGCAATGTTCATGTAGAGAACGTCACTTTAGCTTCATGATACTTCACCATTTGATGTATTTGTCTTTTCATTACTTATGTCATAAATCTTCTTATAAATTGATGCTACTTTCTTATAACATTCTTATCTTTCAATGTCAATATTTTTACTCTTGAGACATATTTCATTCAGTGCGTACATCACTTTACTTTCCACGTAGTAATCATTCTAGTAAATGTCTTCTCTCTTTAAAATGCAACTCTTTAATATTCTTAATTGATAATTCATTTGGTATTTCAGGGATTCTATCCTAAAACATGTTAATTTTTTAAAAGTAAAAATATTAATAATCTTGATGGGTTTTAAAGTCAGGTAAATTTGATGAATTATCAATAAATGTAGCATAAGTATATAAATTGAGTGATCATGACAATTTAAAAGTTAGTATCAACCTAATTTGATTAGGACTTTGATTCATTGATCAAATACAGTCTAGACAAGGGATTGTTTCAAATTAAAGTCCTACTCATATATGAATCTTAAGGCACCTATTATTATAAGGATAAGAAATTTTGACTCACTCCCCAAAGAATCAAAAGCAGATAAAAAACTTGTTCCAATTCAATAAGGTTTTACTCATTATAGTATTTGACATCATGATACATTGATTATATCTTAGGTGTTAAGTTCATTAAGTTTTCACAATTGCATTGCCTTATTAGGATATAGTCGTTGCTTGTTTCCTACTTTGAATCAATGTTAATTTAACACTTTTACTTTTACCACCAAAGCTTAGTTGAAGCCTAGTATTGGCCTAACAACATTTATTTTTCTATCAAAGTCTAGAACTTCATTGACTCCTTTACTTTTCTCGTTAAAGTCCATAATATGATTAGTCTCTTTGCTTCTCTATTAAAGTTCAAAACCTAATTAGCACCTTTTACATTTTTGTCAAAGTCGAGAACCTGCCTGACACTCTTTACTTTTCTGTCAAAGTTCAGAACTTAACTTACTTTTTTACTTTTCTCATTAATCCAAAACTTAACTAACACTCTTTACATTTTTGTAAAGTTCAAAACCTGATTGATACCTTTTATTTTATTTTTTTTGTCAAATTCCAAAACTAGACTAATTTCTTTACTTTTCTTTCAAAGTCTAGAAGTTAAATGACCTTTTTACATTCTACTAAAATCCAATACTTGTCTACTAGGGGTGTCAAAGCAAGCTAGCTTACCTTAGTCTATACCTTACCCACCAAAAGCCCACAAAAAATGAGCCAACCTACCTCACTCTATTCTAAAAAATAGGCTAGATTTTCTAGTTTGACTCATCTAAAGGTAGATTGGCAGGTTAATGAGCCAATCTGTCAAAAACTAAAAAAATAAAAAAGGGTTGGTGGCCAATAAGTTAATAGGTCAACTTATTTAAAATGTCATAAAAAATATTTTAAAAATATTTATATTAATAAAAATTAATATTTAATTAATAAAAAATTATTTTTTATTAAATAAAAATAACCTGATGGGTCAACTTGTCTTATCCCGCTATTGGCTCACATAGACTACGTAGATCAATACTTAGAGTAAAATATTTAGCTTGGCCTTTAGTGGGCTAAGTGGATAAGTCTATTGTTTGTCTCTTTTATATTTTTGTTAAAAATTCAAAACTTAATTAATTTTCTTTTACTTTTCTTGTGAAAAGTCATACTAATAATATCCTTTATTTTTATGTTAAAGTCTAAAACCTAATTGATCTTTTTATTTTTTTAGCAAAGTCTAAAAGTTGACTAATTTATTTATATTTCTATCAAATCCAATATCTATTTGTACTCCTTTAGTTAAAAATTTAAAACTTTAATATACTTTTCTATACTCTTATATCAAAGTTTAGAATCTAATTGATAATTTTTTATATATTTATATCAAAGTGTATTATATATCTCATAACTTTTATTTAGTTTGAATCTAATATTTGTTTGACAATCAACAACTTTTATTTTTAATTTAAGTACAATATATATCTCATAATTTTTATTTTTAACTTAAACTCAATACTATTTTTATTTTTAAGTCAAAATTTAGTATCTACTTAAAAAATTTTATTCATATTATTTTAAAATTTGTTCTTCAAATATCATCGCCTATTTTACAACCTAATCTCGAGTTTTTAGGAGATTAAATTTTCTAAATACATGTGATGTCACGTGAGGATTCTTCCTTAAAATCATTCGAAGAAGAATTTACTTTTGAACTGTATAAAATTAACTAAATATATCTAAAAAATAGGAAAATAAAAGAAAAGGTAATTGGACAAAGATAAAGAAAGAAAGTTGCTTCTCCAATAAATGTACCGAACTTATTCTCAAAATGTATTATCTTGCCTAAAGCTTTTTAATTTTTTCTTGGTCCATTCTAACACAGCTAGACTCTTAATGTTGCCCATCCCTCATTGGGTTCCAGTCTAGGGAACTCACGTGGACTCAATATTTAGGTTATCCCTTCTTTCATTTTATTCAATTTATATATTTATGAAGTAATATTTATGTTTGGCTTATAAATGTATTTTCATTTAAATAATTTTTTTAAAATATTTAACATTATAAGAAAACATGCACCATCAGTTATTAAATAAATATCTTAAATTTTAGAAGAAAAGAGTATAAATAATTGAGCTTTGAGGAGAAAAATAATATGGAAACAAAACAAATTCTAAGCATTTGAACCTAAATTTTGACGGAAAAAAGAACAGAAAAGAAAAATTGAAACTAAATGATAATTTTAAAAATTTCAAAAACATAAAAAATATTAAATATTGATAAAACTATGTGTCACGATGAAAAATAAAATACAAAAATATTAAATTTTTATTTACATTTGGGATAAGGATTCAACTTATCAATTCTTGTAAATTTCAAATACATAAGTATTTTTTTTATTTTCTTCTCCTGTATAAAGACTTATCTAAAAATTAATTCATTATAACAAATTTTTAATACAGTTAAATTAAAAAATGAATAAAATGATTTTCATTATTTTAGAATCAATAAAAGGAAAAAAAATTATCAGTGTTATACTAGGAAACATATAATTATTTACACAAATAAACCTACAAACTTAAAAAAATACACGTTCATAAAATATTTCCTTCACTTTAACTCTAGATCTAGAGGGAGTATTTTTGTGCAATAAACCAACCACATTTTATCCAAAATAGTGTCTGGAAAAATTATTTAAATATAATTTATTTATTTATTTCTCTCTTTTTTTGCCAAATTTTATTTTATTTTATTTTTGGTCCACGCCAACTTTCATTTATTTCTCTACATAGTCATCATTTCCACACCTTCCAATATAAGCACAACAATTCATAAAGACAGTTAAGTTGCAAACCCATCAGCCAATAATTGGGCCCCATGATGGACCTTGACTTAAGACCAAACCCAGTTGGGGATGAAAATTTGCTAGGACTTGGGTCACATGACCCGTCACAATTTTATTGTATTGTAATTACAATAGACACCCTGCAAGCAAAAGCAATGGCGTACGGACAAAACAAATTTGAATCCAAAATCGTGGCAGAGAAAAATGCCACTGTTCTTTCGCTCTCTTTAATACACTTGCTTAGAAAAAAAGGCTCGTTCTCTCTCTCCCTCTGCTGCAACAAATGAGTTGCTTTGTCTCATTCACTCAGCTACTTCCATCACCACCTAAAAATGCAACCTTTATCCTTTCATTTTCTGCGACCCATTTTCTCTTCAGTCCTAACAACAATGCAATGCAGTGCTACATAGCACTGCGAGGGTAGTTTTGCCTCTGTCTAGATCTGACCCATCTCGGGATCTTAAGAAAAGAAGGCATTTTGAATTGTGGGTTTTGTTTTTCGGTGTATTCGGTCATTGGAAAAGTGTTGGGGCATTGTTGGGGGTGATGGGATCCACTGGTAGCAAAGCCACTTCCTCTTGCGGTTCATCCACAACATCCTCTTCTTCGGGGCGTTTTAGGAAAGGTCGATCCAAGGGCCTTAGAGGTTTTCAGTCTTATTGTCTTGGAACAACTTCTGGATCTCACGACAGTGACAGTGAGGACCAGGTAACTCGCTTTTTAATTTTTTGCAAAGTTACTGTGTGCAAATATATTATCTTGAGTATCAGTTCTTGTTTGCAAATAAATTACAAGAATTTTTTTTTCTTGGTTTTAGTTGAGTTCAGCCTTTGTCTTTTACCCTCTTTCATGGGTATTTCCTTACTTGTATTTTGCTGTAGAAAGGTGCTTCATTAGTTGATTCTTTATGGAGTATATTACAATGTAATAAACTTATCTTTACAACATAGCACCTATTTTCCGCCAGAAGTCAACAACTTTTAAATTGATCCTGTATTCAAAATTCTGATTTATCAAAAGTTTTTTCTTCTATTGCTCTGTACGTCTCATTATCTAGTTTCTAATCACTAATCAGCACTTTTTTTTAAATATTCTGGGCCGGGAGAATGATTGGAATGCTTTTTCTTCAATCTTTTTTTCTCGAAAATGCATTAGAATCTTGTATTGCTAACGTTTTGGTTGATTTGGTCAGAGTTTTTTGTTGCTAACTATCTGACTATAGTTTCTAACTCGTGCTGTAGGTTTGTAATCAGATTAAAATAAATAGCAGTGATATTAAATATGCGGGTGATGGCGGTGAAAGAGAGTCAGATGAGGTGAAAGCTGAGTCTTTTAGAAAGGTTAAAGCCAGGGATATGACTTGTATACCCTCTAACACTGACCTTGATGAGTGGGGTGAAACAAGCATCCGCAACACTTCATCCGGAACTGGTAGCAGCTCTGTTCATGCTTCTTCAACTCATTCCTTGAACCCTACAAGTAATTTCCTTTCTCAATTTAGCCTCATTCCTGGTAATGTAAGCTTCAGACTTAGCAGAGCCAGCAGTTTGGGGTTGTCAACGCCTTGTCTTGTTTCTTCTGCAAATCTCTCAATATTTGACAATGAAGATGGGCAAAATATACATGCAAGGCCTTCAGGAAATTTGATTGACAGAAATGATACACGACAATGCAGTGACTTGCTTCCTGAATCTTTTGCAAATAAAATACCTACACAGTGTCTTGAAGGCGCTGCAAATAATTTAAGGTCAACTTCCCCGGCATCAGGTTTGCCTGGCAACTTGCTGAACAATAGCACAGGTGGAGTAGGTACACGAGAAAGGCAGGATGTGAACTTATTTTCTTCAAGAAATCAAACAGAGACAGCAAATGTTGAGACAAGACATATTGACCGACGGAATGGAGCACAAGAACCAGTTGAACGGAATATTCATTTTAGCCGAACTTTAAGTGTTGGAAGACTTCGTGACAGAGTTCTTCGTCGATCAACATTACCTGACCTCACTTTTTGCCCTCTCCAACAAGAGAGAGAAATAAGAGATGCTAGTCAGGACACTAGAAGGCAAGCAGCAGAGGGAGATTCAAGAGTGTCACCATCTGATCTTAGTGTTGTTAATTCTTCTACATTAGAATATCCTTCATCTAGTATGCCTAACTCCATGTTTAGCAACCAAGAATATGGCATTGAGACTTCACGCTTGAGAGAAGGGAGGTATCAGGATCTACTTGAACAAAGGTCCAATTTCCTTGAGCGGAGAAGAAGAATACGGTCCCAGGTTTGTGGATTTTCTGAGCTTTGAGTAACTACTGATGATTTAATAATATAGTAATATACTAAAAATCAAAATGTTTGGCCCTTTATGTTTTAAGAAAGGAATGATCAAAATGTGATGCTTGTAGGCCAATAATTGTTGCAAAGTAATGATGTTGTCATAGTTAAACTGTGATATTCATACAAGAATCAAGATGAACAAAATACTAAGACTTCCGGTTAGTTCTATAAAAATATTTTTACACAACTTTTCCTCCATATGCTGGACTTTACTCAGTTACTCAGATTTACATTTGCTTGTAAAATTATTTAGGTTCGTGCACTTCAGAGGTTGGGTAGTCGGTTTGAAAATCTTTCTGGACATGACAGATCATGTATCTTGTCTGGTCAACATAGAAATGGTCGTTGTACATGTCGAATCAGTAATCGTGACACTAATTCAAATGATGATACCACTGCTAGAGCTAGCATATCAAGAATTGTTATGCTTGCAGAAGCCTTATTTGAGGTAATTTTAATGTGTTGGTTTGTTAATTATTCTGATGAACATTAATAATATAATATGTTCAAACAACTTGAATCTTTTATGCATATTTTAATTAGGTTCTGGATGAAATTCACCAGCAATCTGTTGTTTTATCTTCCCGCCCTTCTGTATCTTCTATTGGATCTGTTCCTGCCCCTAATGATGTTGTGGAGTCCTTGCCAGTCAAATTATATGAGAAGTTGCATAAGCATCAAGAAGATGCTGCACAGTAAGAATTCAAGTTTACCACCACTTGGTATTCAGTTTATCAAATGCCTTTAATGGACTTCTCCAATAACCAAAAAGTTATAGAGTATGGACATGACTAACAATTTACATACGTGGCATGGGACTATTGAATAAAACATCTGAATGGACCCAATTTTGACTTTAATATATTAAAATGTCATTTTAGTATATTTAAATACTTCAATTTTATATTTAATCTAGTTATATGTATAAGATTTAAAAGGTTTAAGGACACTGCCAGGTCCGTTAAAATTTAAATGCAGTATTCAGTGACGTGTCGTGCCAAATATTTCTTTCCTGGGCTGCCTTACTAACTTTTTTCAGTAATTGAATGATGGCTAACAGAGGGACTTGATAGTGCAATTAGAAAAATAGAGGGATTTGATTGCTGCAAAGAATTATTGGGCGACCAAATCACATATTGGTCACAATATAAGAAAATAAATGCAATAAAAAAGCCTGATTAATAACTAATTTCTCTAATTTAATAAACATAAATATATTTGATTATATATTCGACCATGAATGTTAATATTCTGATTATAATCTAACAATTTATCTGGAAAAATAAACAAGCTGAAGAAGAATGCAAACTCTCGTGTTTGTTGTCAACTGGTTTTGATTACAGTATGCCTTTTTGCGCATTAAAATTTTTTATGTAACAACATGAAAATATTAATTGGTATTTTAAAATTGTACCTGCCCTTTTCATGCCTAGTGGGTATTACTTGTCATCACTTTTACCGTGTTTCACTTATTAAATTTTAATAGTGGTATTTTACTATTTGCTTAATCCCATAATTTCACAGATGCTATATATGCCTTGTGGAGTATGAAAATGGAGACAGTGTACGAGTACTGCCTTGTCATCATGAATTTCATAGAAGTTGTATAGACAAGTGGCTGAAGGAGATTCACAGGTATGAGAAAGTAGTAGGGGTTTGAGTTCTTCTTGCTATTTATTTTGTCAAATTAAAACTGAATTTATACAAACTTTCCTATTTTTCCTTGTAATCATGATTCATGTCATTTTACTGGTGTATTGTGTCTCTGCATATCTGTGATTTTTGCGCCTATCTTTGGGTGGAACAGGAGTATAGATTAGTGATCACTGATCACTTTTTGTCGTGTGTGCAAGAAGCACTCTAATAATGGAATGTAATGCTGGAAGATACTAGATATTTGCATAACTTTAAGCTCGTTAAAATTGAAGATTAGCAAACCATGGTGTGAAATAAATGTTGTTACCATCTGATGGGCATGTTCCCTATTTTCTTTTGACACTTCTACCTGTGCTAGTCTTTATAAAACTTTATATGTGGTGATGGATATAACATATATTTAAATATTCAAAGGGGATTGGAGATTTAAATGATAAATTTGGGGTTAATTTTTACCTATTCATATTACAACTTTTAAAGAGCCCTAATGGTGAATGAAATTAGTCTTTAGTTTGTGCAATATATGCCTAATGTACCATGTTATGTTCTCTGCATGAGTCTTGTGATTTTATGTTATTTACATAACATGTAACTCAACACCACTTGCTCTAGAGAGGCTTCGAATGTATCTAACTTCTTTATATTATGCGCAGGGTTTGCCCACTTTGTCGGGGTGACATATGCATATCTGATTCATTGCCAACAGAAAACTTGAGTAGCTAGTTGTTGATTAATATCTGCTTTGAAGCACCCTGTGTCATTGGTCTTTTCTGTTGTGAATATCAGAAGTGCAGTCCTTTTCTACTGTATTACATTGTTGTCAATGATTATTTACTCTGATATCCGAATAAAACACAAAATCCATGGTAGAAATAAATTGACATGCTTCTCTTTGCCTTCACCGAAGTTAAAGAAGAGATAGAGAAAAAAAGGAGTAAAGCCCAATTTAGTCCTCATAAGTGTTTATCATTTTATGTAGTCCCTAACTTGATAAAATTCTTACAGTTGTCTTTAATTTTACAAAAATGTCATTCGCATCTGGTGATATAATGTATGGTTAGTCTTTTGGGGTGTAAAAGGAGGATGAAAGTGAAATGAAAATGGTTAAGATGAAAGACTTTTAGTGAAGTTAAGGATTGAATTGAGAATTTTATAATTTTAAATCGCTAAAATTGAATTTATTGTGCATGCTTGAGCGTTGGACTTGGGAGGTTTTGGATAGGTGATTATCAGTCTCACTTGGCTAAAATTACCTAATTAATTTGATATACGCTGAGATTGAATAGAGCATTATGTGATAATTAGTAAATTTAGAATCAATCTTTAAAGAAAAGATTCAGAGGAAGATAAACCTTTAGGAGCTACCGAAATAAAGAGAATAAAGGGATTTGATAATTTATTACTCAATTGCAGATATTTACTGCGAGAGAATAAAGAAAAATGGTTTATTACTGTAAATAGATATTTTAAAATATCTTTCAAAATTTTATCTTAATTATTTTAAGTAAAATATATTACAAAATAAAATAAAATAAAAAACTATTTTAACTCAGTTTTTATAGGATGATCCTATAATAATCCATTAAAAATGTTTTATGTAACATTTTTTTAGATAAATAAAATTGCTTAAAAAAAATAGACGAAGAAGAATTAAATTTGTATAATATTAAATATTTAGAATGAATTATTATTATTAAATAAAATATAATAATTTATTATTAAATTAAGTTGCATATTTATCTAATTTTTACTTGTATTATTAATAAGTACTAAATTATAAGTAACAATTTTTATTTATATAATTTTATAAATAATTTTTAGCATATTGTTTTAGATTATTATTTGAGTATTAACTATATTTTTTCATTTATATATTTTTATAAAATTATTAAAAACATTAAATATTTTATTTTTATTTTTGGTGAGAATCATATTTAATTTGTGCAAAGACATTTCATATTCAATAAATATTTTTAAAGTTATAATAAATATTTTTAAAATCACAATAAACATACAAAACTAATAAGGAAAAGTAATACTAGCTAAATTTGTTATCCAAATATTTGATTTATTTAAATTAAAGTTAATGTATTGAAAAAAAATAAATGCAACACCATTATCTTGAAAATTGTATACATATAAAATTTAATATTGTAAAATTTATCAATGCAAGAAAATAACTTGTTAATATAACAATAATAGATATTTATAAATTTAACTTTTAATTCATCTTAATTTGATAGATTTTTAAAAAAAGTGAAGTAACTTGTGTTTGTAAATTTTTTATCTTTACAAAAAATTTGTAATAAAACTTAATTTTATTTGCTTTATTGGTTTATTATTTTGAACCAATAAATATATATAAAATTAACTCTACTGTAATATTAATATAACATCAATAATTATATGAACTAAATGATAAATTAAAATAAATACAAGATATAAATTGATAAATTAAATAATAATTAAATTTTTTAATTTTTATTTGTTGATTTATATAAATTTTCATTAATTATTATATTTTAAATGTAAATTTATAGTCTATAACCCATAATACATGTATTGAATAAGGTTGATATATTAATATTAAAAATATGTTAAACATTACCGTGCATTATATAGGAGAAGTATCTTACTTGGTAGCTCTGAATATTATAAAACAAAATTAATTGAAATAACATTCGAATCTTTCGTTGAATGAAAAAATAAATTATAGTCCGTTAACTTACACCATTATGATAGATGTGATTGTCATTTAAATTCATTTGTATATGTCATATATAATTTTATAGAATACAGACGGAATATTTTAGAGCAAAGTCAACTTCAAGAAGGCTCCATACAAGTTCACAGAAAACTATGACGTAAGCAAACAGAATGTTCACACAAACAGAATGTTCACACACACATTAAGTCACTAACCCCCAACTCATAGCTAGTCATCAATTATATATAGACTCATTTGCATAGCAGGGTTAGAACAACTCACATTTGCACCGTACACATTTCATTTGCTAGTGATTCTCCAAAATTCCAACTAAATGAATTCCTCTTCATCCTTCTCTTGTGCAATCATCACATGCTTTCATGTGGTTCTCCTCTTTTCTGCCACGTTACTATGTTTGCAACCTAGGAACACTGCTAGTGGCTTAGGAAATGACACAGACCAATTGTCATTGCTAAGATTCAAAGAAACAGTAGAAAATGACCATTTGATGTATTGGCTTCATGGAATAGTTCAACTCACTTTTGCAATTGGCATCGAGTCACATGCAGCCTTAAACATCAAAGGGTCACTGCTTTGAACCTACAAGGCTATGCCTTACGTGGGTTGACACCACCTGAGATTGGCAACCTCACTTTTTTGAGGTATTTCAACCTTCAAAACAACAGCTTCTATGGTCAAATCCCACATGAAATTGGTCGTTTGTTGAGCCTGCATATGGTATACCTCACCTATAACACATTAAGTGGTCAAATTCCAACCAACTTGTCTAGTTGCTCTCAACTCAAAAGCTTGAGTTTATCAGGAAACAAACTTGTTGGCAAAATCCCTGCATCTTTAGGGAATCTTTCATCTCTTAGTGCTCTCTCTTTGGGGGGCAATAACTTGGTTGGTATTGTACCAGAAGAGATTGGCCAATTGAAAAACTTGAAACATATCTCAATTGTATCCAACAAACTATCTGGCATGCTTCCTTCTACACTCTTTAATATTACATCTCTCACCTTTTTCTCAGCTGGACTCAACCAATTTAATGGTTCTCTACCTGCCAACATGTTCATCACACTGCCTAAACTTCAACAATTTGGCATTGGTTTGAATGAGATCTCGGGTCCTATCCCAGCTTCTATCTCCAATGCAATGCTGTTATTTAACATCCCCTGGAATAACTTTGTGGGACAAGTTCCAACTGGCATAGGAAATCTCCAAGAGGTTCGCTCTATTGTCATGAAACGCAATCATCTAGGGAGTAACTCATCTAATGATTTGGATTTCTTGACATCTTTGACAAATTGCACCAAATTGCAAGTGTTAGATTTAAATCTAAACAACTTTGGTGGTTCTTTGCCAAACTCTGCGGCCAACTTATCAAGTCAACTAAGCCAGTTTTATATTGGTGGCAATCAGATTATTGGGACTATTCCTGCAGGATTAGGAAATCTCATGAACTTGATTGGCTTTGACTTGAAGTTTAACCTTCTCACAGGGCCCATTCCAGCTTCATTTGGGAAGTTCCAAAAGATGCGATGTCTGACTTTGAATGCAAACAAACTTTCAGGAGAAATTCCAAATTCCATTGGCAACCTTAGTGAGTTGTTTCATCTTGACTTAGCAAATAACATGCTGCAAGGAAGCATTCCTCCTAGTATTGGGAATTGCCAAAATTTACAGTACTTCGACCTTTCACATAACAACATTACTGGAACTATTCCTTTGCAGGTCATTAGTCTTCCCTCCTTGTCATTATTACTGAACTTATCCCATAACTCACTGAATGGAAGCTTACCCCTTGAAGTTGGCAACCTGAAAAACATCAACAAGTTGGACTTTTCAAAAAATGCTCTCTCTGGTGAAATTCCTTCCACAATTGGACAGTGCATAAGCTTGGAATTCCTTAACTTACAAGGGAATTCCTTCCAAGGAGCCATACCTTCAACCGTGGCTTCATTGAGAGGCCTTCAGTATTTAGACTTGTCACAAAATAACTTGTCTGGATCAATTCCAGAAGGTCTAGAGGGTATGTCTGTTCTTCAGTGCATAAATATTTCTTTTAACAGTTTGAATGGTGAAGTACCAAAAGAAGGTGTCTTTAGAAATGCAACCGCAGTATCAGTAAAAGGCAACAGTGGCCTTTGTGGGGACATCACACAGCTACATCTACCATCGTGCCCTTCCAAAACTATGACACAAAAAAAAAGAGGCTTGGAAGGAAATAGTAATAATAACTTCTGTGGTGGTTTTTCTCCTATTGTTATCATCTTTTGTTGCTTTCTTTTGGAAGAAAAACATATACAGGAGAACATCTAGTTTACAAACAACTATAGACCATCTTGCCAAGGTCTCATACCAAACACTCTATCAAGCAACAAATGGATTCTCTCCCAATAAATTGATAGGATATGGTGCTTTTGGCTTTGTATATAAAGGAAATATTGAGTCAGAAGAGAGAGCTATTGCGGTAAAGGTCCTGAACCTTCAAAAGAAAGGAGCTAACAAGAGTTTCATTGCTGAATGTAATGCACTCAGAAATATCCGCCACAGAAATCTGGTTAAGATTCTAACTTGCTGCTCCAGCATGGATTACAATGGAAATGAATTCAAAGCTCTAGTTTTTGAGTACATGGAAAATGGAAGCTTAGAGAAATGGTTGCATTCTGAGATAGAAATTTCCGATCAACCATGTTTGGACCTTCTTCAAAGACTAAACATTCTCATAGATGTTGCTTCTGCATTACACCATCTTCACTATGGATGTAAGCAGCCAACTGTTCACTGTGATTTAAAGCCAAACAATGTCCTTCTTGACATTGACATGGTTGCCCATGCAAGTGATTTTGGACTAGCAAGACTTCTCTCCAGCATCAATGGCGTCTCTAATCTACAAACTAGCACGATTGGAATCAAGGGAACTGTTGGATATGCTCCTCCAGGTACAGTTTGATAGTTGATTCTCTTTTCAGGTTTGTAAATTCTAATTACATTCCTCAGCAATGTTTGTAATACAATTTCTAAAACATTTTTTTGAGCACACTCTTTATTATTATTATTAGATGAAATTTATTGAAAATCATAAAATTATGAGAGATTTATCAAATAAGGGAGTGAGATCCACCTCATTTGATGAGCCTGAATAAATTCCAACTAAT